CCAGGGAGAATAGAAGCTCCTGGTGGCCGGAGTAAATGCATTGTGGAGTAAATACTCCTGGTGGCCGGAGTAAATGCAAACGTAGCACTAAGTATATTGCTCCTGGTATATGTATTTTGAGACACCTGGATTCTGCCTGGTGTCAGTCACATTTTTGTTCCGTTTGCTCTGTTTCTAGCCTCCCTATAATAGCAGCACTTTTCTCCCTGCAAAGGATTCAAAATGAACCGTGTCACCTTGCCTTATTAGTGTTTTATTACAAGTAATAAATAATAAATACAGAGCCCTCTAAGAGGAGTTTGAAGTCAGAAACCAAAAAGACTACACACCCCAAATACATCAGACCATAGTCATCTGTGATACTACTGCAGTAAAATCAGCACACGGAAGAAACAGACGTGGCACTGTTTGGTGAAGCCCACAGCTCAAAGCAGGGGAAGAGAGTCTAAAAATCCTTTGTTTTATGCTGGTTTATCACTGAAAGATTTTGTCACTGAAGCATGTTATAAAGAGAGACTAGAACGACGGGAGGGTAGCTGCCTGGCATTCAAGAACATTTTCAGTAAAATTGAAATGTCTTTCAATTGCACATTCCCAATGTAAAACGACTGCCAAAAACATTTGCTTTTAATTGCTCAGGTTCTCAAAACATCAATGCAAATAATGGGAACAGGCTCGGTTTGCAAACTCCGGAGAATTTGCAACAGCAGAGGAAAGTAAGCTCAGGAACCTGGCCTTGGCTCGGTGCAGCTCTCAAAAGAAACACGAATGCAATCGTGGATGGGTCGCAAATGAGCTTGGACCAAGGGCTCCTAGCCCAACAGAAAGGTGCATTTACATTTACAGGGGCCAGCTGAAACTTGCTCAGCAAGTCTCACACAAAACTGCCTGTTCCAGGATGACTTCCTTAGCCTGGGTTCAAAGCCTCCTCCAACACACCTGTATCCCTGCCTTTCACTCAGCCAGAGAGAACAAAAAGGGTCTTGTTTCAATTTGGTTCCCCTGCAACAAAACACCCTTCCTACAAACCAACTTAACACCCCTACCAAAAGCACTTATATCCCGCAGCCAACTCACCCCACACCTCTTTTATAATATGCTGGAAGGAATTACCACCAATTCAGCACAGCTGGAGAAGCCCGGCTACCCTAATAGTCCCTGCGAAGCACAGCAGGCCCTGATGGGCTTCCTTCAGAGAGTGTTAACCCTCTCCCTGCCACGCTCTGAATTGCTCAGCCCAGATCTAGAAACACACTCAATACCTGAAGGCAGCCCTTCTGAGGTTGGCTGCTGAAGCCATTCAGGGTTGCTTGGGAGAATTAGAGATACACAGGGCCCATGAGAGACAGTGTGTGGGCATGCCCCTGTGGGACTAGGAGCATGACCTTTTGCCTAGTGGTTACAGCCTGCAGGTAGGGGGACAGAACAGGACTGACTCTTCCAGCCCCTGGTAGTACTAAGCCCTGGAAAAGGGCAGGACTCAAAATGCTGCTGAGGATAAGCCGCTCCCTACGCAGTGCTGGCATTTGTGCCTTAGCAACCCTCCTGTCGAGGCCCATTTTGAGGAGTAGCTTCTAGGTTGGTATGAGGCTGCACGTACATCTCCCATGATCCTCCATAAAGTTGCTGTTTCTTTCTGTGCACTTATTGTTCACCCCTCTTCAGAGGGCCTGGCTAATTTATAACATGAGCCCGAAGGCGAGGCAGATGGCCTCCGTGATCTTACCTGTGTTCCCATGGAAGACTTGGCTCTGACATGGTACTGTCCTGATCCGATTAAATCACTGTGTGTATTGAATCAAATGTGGTCTTCAATCATGCTACAGCACTTTTGAAGTCCAGGACTGTAGCCTGATTTGGGCACATGGTTTTGGTCCATCTCAGCTGCCAAGACCTGTCTGGAACATATTACCACGCAGCTATGTCACGTCCTAGTGTGGTAGTGATTATTATAGACTTTCTTACATACAACCACAACTCCTCCCGCTGCCCTCTTACCCCTCCCCGTTCACTTCATTGTGTTGTTGCCTCAGGCCCAGCCTATGGGTTTGCAGATTTCAGCCTAAAGGAAGTATCTGCCAAAGCTTAAAATTCAAGCACTGCCCCCCTCTCACTAGGCACAGTGTTGCTCAGGCTAAATCATCACATTGTTGGACTAACCTGATGTCAGGTACTGTTAGCATAAACGTTAAACATCCAAACAGCTGAAATGTCACAGCCGTCAGCCCACTGCTGAATCCTAGGCTGACAATACATAATACACTTCCTTGCTGTCTCCATTAAGAGTCACACTGCAAGCTGTGTGCAGCACAGCTCAGGCTGAAGCCCTCTTCTTCCTTTTATGTTTAGCATCATGATTTCTAGACAGCGTATGAAACCGTGACATTTTTAAGGCACAGACAGAAATGACAATTTTTGCCTGTCTGGCACCCAAAAGTACTCTACATCAGTGACCAAAGAGAAGTGTATGTCTGCAGAGTACTTTAACAGGGCCTGATCCTGCAAAAATCTGACCCCTTTTTGCATGAGGGTTCAGAAGAAGATGCTCCAAAATGGAGCGCTTTCCGTAACTCGTGTCTGAGCTGCCTCCTAGCCCAGCGCTGTTTTCAGAATAGGAAGGGGGAAAGGGAGTGAAGGGAGTTTGGCCCCACCTTAGGGGAGCTCCAGTCCAGCTGCTCCACCCTCCAGCACTTGCTGGGAAACCCTCAGAATGAGCTCCTATTCTGCTCCCTTTCCCTCGTGCTGGGCTGGGAAGGGGGAGGGAGGAGCAGTGCAAGGGAAAACCACCTGCAGGCTCACTGCCAGCAGCTGGATTCCCCAACCCCCAGGACCCAACAGTGAACTTCTGTCAGGTTTGAGGGATTGTTGTAATTCGTGGCACTTCCTGCAAAGCATCATGAGTTACAACGGGGAACTGCTCTTTTGTCTGCACCTTTAAGATGACCAAGAACTGTTTTGAATTACCTGCAGAGAGTCGAGAAATCCTGGCTTTATACAAATAAATCTTCCCCTAAGTTCTGAGGAGAACATAAGATTGGCCGAAACTATTTTTTTAAAGTTAGACAAGGTTCTTTGGGTAAATCCAATATCTTTTATTAGACCAACTCAAATAGTTAGAAAAATTCTTCTTAGCAAGCTTTCAGGCAAGAACACCCTTTGTCTGGCTGAGGAAGCATCTGCAGATGGTCTGTGCTCTTCCTGGATGGAGTGGTAAAGCAGCCAGAGGCCAGGACCTATGCAAGAAAGCCAGTCAGTTAAAATGTAAATTGAGGTGGTCAGTAGGTGAGAGACAGGTGGGGAAGGGGGAATGAAAGTAGCTGTAGTCAAAGGATGAGAGACAGGAGGGTGAGAGGGAAGGGAATGAGAATAGGTGGTAAAAAGTGGAAGATTTACCTGGGGAGTCATATGTTAGGCAGGTATAATGTGTCATAAATCCAATACACATTGGATATACACATATTTAGTCCATGCTTTTTTGTATCCAGTAGACTGATGAAGTGAAGTTCATAGGCTTGTCTGTGAAGGGTATTTTGCAAATTCCCTTTGAGGATTAGAACTGAGAGATTGGAGAAAGAGTATTTTTCTTGTGAGAAATGTGTCCCCACAGGTAATTGGGTATTCTTGTCTTGATTTTCAGTGTGTATTCATTCTGGTACACAGGTGTTGTTTCGTTTCTCCTACATGTTTTCCATCAGGGCATTTGGTGCACTGGTGAGATGCTTTACATTTCATTTCTGGAGATGCAGGTGTAAGATCCAGGAATGGTGATGGTTCTGTTGTGGGCTGTAGTAAAAGTGGGGATGGTGGAAATGTGTTGGCAGGTTTTACATTTCTTGACCCCTCATGGTCTGGATCTGTTCAGTGTGTTTTGGACTGTTCTGGTGATGAGGTTGGCGAGGTTCAGTGCTTGTTAAAGGATAGGATGAGTGGTTCTGGGAAGATCTCTTTGAGAACTGGGTCTCCTTCTAGTATGGATTAAAGGTAGACATTTTAGGGGCTGGATAGTAAGCTATTTGTGACAAACACCATCTTTTGATTGTTTCATAGTTTCATAGTTTCTAGGGTCGGAAGGGA